GAACCGTTTTTTTCTCCTAGTCTGGAGCCCTTCAAGGTTCCCCCGGCCTGGGAGGACTCCCGGCTTCCACGCGCCTCCCAGCTGCTACCGTGCTGGACGGGGCTTTTTTCCAGCCGAAGCGATCTGAGACCGGCGATCCGCTCCCGACTCATCCGAATTGTCCCCGCCGCCGCCAAGGCTATAGCTGCAGGTTAGCTCTCTTCGGATGCAGAGTATCCATCTCTTCTCTGTCTTCACTCCAATCCTCCCTCTTTCTCTTTGCCTTTACTCCTTTCTCTCCCCCCACCTCCCTGCTTTCAAATCCCACAAACACCCCCTCCCCGGTCTTCTCTGTTTAGGTTCCCCCCCTTTTTTTTTCTATCCCAAAAGGGAAGGTGGGCGGGGGGAGAAAGGTTTGGCAGCCCAGCGAGCAAGAGAGGGCGGGGAATCAACGGGCGTTATAAGGAACTCGGTTGCCACTTAGAAAGTGCCTTTTTAAAAGGCTGCCTGATAGATTACTTTCCAGTTAAAGATATACTAGGGGGCGGGGCCACGTGATGGCTTGACGTCAGCGCCCCCCTGGCAGGCCAAGCCCGACTCAAGTTGTTTCATGGGATTGTCAACAAAGAGACAACGGTGGCTTCCTTCCCCTTGGTCACCGCCAAGTGATCAGCTCAGCCCCCTTCAGGGAAAACTTCCCTAAACAGGCCCCGTGGCATCGTGGAAAGCCTTCCCAATATTGTCCCATAAAATAAAAATCTTCCCAGGTCGCTAAGTTTATTCTAATAGGAATGGATGGAGCATCAAAACAAATCAAAGCAAAACAACCATGCTGGAATTCGATGGACACACACACACAAGGTGGCCCATGCGATGTTTTCAGAGTTGGCCATCTTCCCTGCAACCTGGGAAAATAATATTTTTAAAGGGAGGGGATGGAAAACAAATAAGTCTTCAACTGTGCCAGCCAGGCCGGAATAGGAATTGAATGGTAGAGCCACTCTAAATACAATTCTTATACTATCCTGGATTTTTTTAAAAAATGCCATTTGTAGGGTTTAAATACCCCTATCCCCTCGACTTCGGAGAAAATGTATTTCTTTTTGTTTTTCTCCTTTTTCTCCCTTTACCAAATGTAAACCAGCATCAGCTGGGAAACGAAGATCAGAAAATGGCTATCCATTCATCTTTTAGGTCAGTTGGGGAGCGAAATAAGACTAAAAGACGTAAAATAACCACGCCCCCTAAAAAAAATCGGAAGAGAAAGAAAAATAACAAAAAGGGGAGAGAGAGAGTGTGTGTTTCGGCTGTAGCTTTATTATTATTGGTGGTGTCTTGCAGAGGTGTTAACGACGTAATAATAGCTCATTAGCATATTAAAAAGTAGGAAATGGGGAAGTGGGAGTTTGTGTGAATAGAAAGATTTTTATTCACCTCAGCACAAGGTAAGCCTTGTCCCAAGAAAACAAACTCCAGGGGGGAGCAAGTTCTCAAAGTTTGTTGCAAATGTCTATTTCCTCCTCTTTAAACAAAACCCTCCATTTCCAGAGGGAACAATTACGTACTTTGGGTTTAGGTAGGAAATTATTAGCTTGGTAGGTGGCTTTCTTTTTGTTTTTCGTCCTGTGTATTGTTGTAATGATCGCTTATGACTTCGGAGAAATGTTGATAACAACAGTCCTCGGAAAAGAGGGATCTGTTACTTTCTGAATCTCGAAAAGATATGCCCAAATCTCTCTCCCCGGATCTCCCTCGCGCTGCGGCTTGTTTCAAAAGAACATTTTACGGCGTACGGATAAAGTGGGACATCTTTATATTTACAGGAGCGAAACAAACGAACAAAAAAGGTGGGTCCGTCTTGCGAGGAGAAAAGGGGAGTTGGCTAAGACCGAGTGTCGAAATGTGCTAATGAAGACAGAAATGGCAAGAATAGTATACAGAAGGCACCGAGTGAAAAAAGCGAGTGATTTATGCTCTGAGTAAAGGGAAGATGAGAGGGGAAATCTGGCTCTCTGCGTGTAGACCATACTTCCAGATCACTGTTCACACGAGAAGGGCGTTCGAGTTTTATCTCTGGAAAAACCGGCATCCGTAAGTTGTATTTCTCTCCCCCCGCCGCGCCAATCGGTGTGGCGTGGAGGGGTGACCACCCTATTGGGCAGCAGCGTAACTCGATCTGCCATAGGACATCCCAAAACAAGCGGACAGGACCTTCAGGAAATGTGACGCTTTGTATTTTGCCCTCTGTTTTGCAAAGCGCTGCCGCCGGTAGAGGAAAGGGACTTTCCGTTCGCTCCCTTTCGGAAGCTCACCTCTGCGCTTCAAAGAGGATCCTCGGCGCCATCCTATGATCACTACTTTGGGAGCGATTGATTCCAGCCGGGACTCCTTAGCAGGAGAAGGCGACTGTTTCTAAATCTTGATTAGATGAAGAAAGAAACCAGACTGACTAGTTCGGACGGGTTAGGAGATGTGAGATGCCTGTTCGCGGGAGGGATTCTTAAACGAATCCCTTAAACTTACCCTATCCCACAAACACGCGCTCCCCTTTACAGTTGCTGCGGGCGGCCGTGGGAGGCTTTCTCTGACCCTTTTCTCAACTCCTTAGTGATGGGGCCTTTCGTTTCAATGATCCCAGGGTGAATTCTGCCTCTTGGACCATAAAACCTTTGCAAATGTCCGTGTGCGTGTTTACAGCAGTGTGTGTGTGTGTGTGTATGTGTGTGTGTATGTATACACACACACACACACACACACACACACAATTATTCCTCCTGAGATCTCACGTCGGGTTTACAGCCAAAAGGAATCCGAGCACGAGCGGGGCGATTTCGTCATTCTGTGAAAAAGGAATTCCTTT